CAGAACAGAACAGACAGACAGAACAGACAGACAGAACAGACAGACAGAACCGACAGACAGAACAGACAGACAGACAGACAGACAGACAGACAGACAGACACAGGCAGAAAGGCCCGCAGGGAGAGAGCCGCAGAGACAGAGACAGAGAGAGACATGCAGAGATGCAGACACACGGGCTAACAGACATGCGTACGCACGTACTCGCATTGGCATGCAGATGCATACATACGTGCATACTTATCCCACGATGGCTTGCTCAAGCCCGTGAGGCGTTGGTGGGTGGCCCAGGGGTCTACGGCGAGAGCAGGGAGTTGGATTTTGGACGGTGTTCAGTGTCGGCATTCGTCCTTTGTTGTGTATAGGGGAGGCAACATGGTTGTTGCATGCAATTCGAGTCCCTCGAGCTTTGGATGACGTTCCAGCTACAGGAAACGTAAGTACTGCAAAAGCTTCGGCAAAGGATGGCAAAGGTATGTAAGTTACTTAAAGGGCCAATCAACTGACACGTATGATTCATACTGATACAGCCCGTGTGCTTTATGTGCATCATATTGTGCTTGGAATTCCTACCGAGATTTCACTGCACCTCCAACTAAATTTTTCAGAAAACATCCCCCCACCGCAGTTACGGCGAAGCTGTTGCTTTCACTTTGCCATGGGATGCCGTAGAACAGGGGCTCAGATGTGGGCCTGGCTTTTCATCCACGGTTTCGAAGATTATGTGGAGGGCTGCTTGAGCCAGGGACAGCCTTGGGGATTTCTAGTCTAGTGCTAGGCTTTTTCTAGAAGCCCAACCACTTCAGACACGGAGCATCCAGCGTCAGCTGCCCACCCATGTCGCAGCCAATGGCTCCCTGAAAGGTCAAACTGAAAAAAGCCAAGCGTCATCAAGGAAACGGGCGGCGCCAAAACTCGGTGCTGCCGCAGACTTGTGCATCAAGACATTCGCGACCTTGCAACAACCCATTCCCAAGCTTCAGAGATTTCCTTCACCGAGCCCAGTCGCGAAGTCGCAATTGAACCAGACCAACGACTCGTAGCTGAACAAGAAGCGCGGACTCGCACGGCCATGGCGGTGACTGCAGAGACTCGGCATGTGGCTGTTGTGGCGCTGACCGGGGAGGTCCGGCGATGGGGCGGGAAAGGAGGTATCTGAGATTCCACCTGGCTGACGTACACAGGGATTGAGACTAATTAGTTTGTTCCACGCCGGGGTCTGGGAGGAGTCTATCGAATCCTGTGAGTCTGGCTGAGCGGGAGACTGGAGCTCAGGTCGTCGTCCAAGCCGACGTGCTCGCCCTGCAAACCGTCACCCGGCAGTCCAGCTGAGCAAGCTGCATGCCTCATTGTCCCGATTCCATTTTTGCACGATCATTGCGCTGCAACGGGTATTTGAAGCTACCTGGGCAGAAGCCCTACATGCCCTCAACCACACAATGCAGTCAGTCCCACCCCTCGTAGCCCAACACCGTGACCGACATCTCGCAATCCAGTTCAAGAGCGGAGACCCCACAAAGTGCGCTTCAAGATCAGAGGTAGCAGAGCTGAAAAGCACGGTGGCGCGGCGACGCCCGCGCTGCGCGCCCTGCTGGCAGCAGCTTGGGCGAGAATCAGAATCTTCCGAGGAAAACTCTCGGGAAAATTGGCGAGGGCCTTGCAGGGATGCATGTGTCTTAGTGAATTGTTCTCCGATCTCATGCTATGATACACATTAACATTGAGGAATGCAGTGACCGCAAACCCCGTCCCCACAGCCCTTTCACGGCCCCGCGATGACTCTTCGAATCTGCTTTCTATTCCGAATTGCTCCTTTACCGCCCCAGCAGGCCCAGTCCGTCAAACAGGCCACTGCTCGATTTACTCCGACATACGAAGCCGGAGCTCCCCGCTGGGAAATTTGTCTGGGTAAGAAGCAAGATTTGTCGAGCAGTTCGGTTTATCTTGTGGACGACGCCCCCAGTCGGAATTTCGAGTCAGAATGCATGAAGCACTTGCCGGTGTCCCTGCTCTTCGCTGGATAGCGGAAAGCTGCGATTTCAGCGTATGGCTAGCACGGGGTGGTGAGTGTCCTGCGGACCCAAGCAAGGCGGCTGCTTCTGGATGGCCGCGAGCTGCAGGATCAGGAGGCGAGGACCACCCGGTCATAGAACTTCCCGGCGAGGGAGACTCAGATCGGCCATGGCTCTTGCCGAACCAGGCTGTTGTGCAACTGAAAGATGATCTGATTGCGTCCTGTTCAAGACTCGCGACCGAAGTTGTAGCCACGCAAGCATCTCCTTTGGAATGTGTGATTTAGTGAAGTTAGTGAAATTTAGTGTCGTCGATCAGCGGTGAGTCCTGCAGAGACTAGTGCAGCACCCGGCACTCAGACGACTCACGTGTTTGTGGCCGATTGGTTGGACGAGAATCCTAGGCGAGCCACGCGATAGCTTAGCCGTAGCCAGATGAACATCATGTGACCCAGTCTCAGGTCTTGGCTGACACTCTGCCGTCCGATGAACCGGCCACCCTGCAGCTCGTTGTGCCTTGCTTGAGTTGTCATCATAGGGTCGATGCTGGGGTGTCTGGGATAATGTGGAATCTGCTTGCCAGCATTCGCTAGCTTCGACATCCTGCTGCAAGTTCTGTCTCTCATCACTGTGCAAATCTGTTGATACGAGAACGGAAAACCTGCATCCGGAACGCAGCAAACCCAATACGTTGCAGCCCTTCCTTCCCAAAGCCTTACGAATTGGTCACCGCAATGCTGCATCACAGGTGGCACTCAGCCCCTGGGACTTGCTGCTACTCCGAAGGCCACAGAGCTGTTCCGTCGAGGCCGCCGTCACGACGCGTTTAGGGTCGTTAAACAAGGAGTTTAGCACTCAAGGCTGGAACAGTCTCCGTCGTAATTAATGGCTTGGTTGACAACGTTGCTTCGTGAATACAGCTGTTCGACTTCCTCTCCGAGAAACGACCTTCGCAATCGGAGTGGTCCGATTTCCTGTCAAAGTGTAGCAAAGGCATTTGTTAACGTTTATTGCTCTCAGATTTTTGGGTACGGGTTCAGCAACCATTGGGGTTTCAGGGGTCCTGGGGAAGTAGGGACAGTCAGCACAGTGTCGAGGAAGCTGTCATCCGTACTTTTCTGAGGGTGTCTTCTGAGTTAGGTATCGCTGAGTTGTTGCCGAGGGTGAGAGGCTTGCTCTTCGCAAGTCATTGTCTGACGTTTGCTAGCAGGGAGACATGAACTCCACCACCAGGCTTCCATGATGGGCCTTTTCAGTACTGCCTCCTCGAATGCTCCGGCTCGAGGTTGCATTTTCTTCAGCTAAAGCAACGAAAAGCCTTAGGCCTGTTCGGCGAGAGGATAGAGGAGCAGCTCAGAACCGAAGCTTCGGAGGAGCCCCTTCTGAGGGAGGCTGGCCAGGCAACTCAGGAGTCCAAGCGACGGAGGTTGCAGATGGGGTTCTCCGTGCTTGGGAGCGGCGGAGGGGAGAGTTCCCAGGACTCAGTGGCGCCTCGGCCCCTTTCCACGCAAGATGTGGATAACCACATGCCGAGCCCCGATCTGGGTAAGGAGGCAGTTCCGGAGCAAGAGGAGGGCGGAGAGCGTGAAGAGGAGGCAGCTGAGAGCGACGACAAAGAGTTCTTGTGGTCCGAAACGAGCCGGCTGCTTCACAGGAGCTGGCTAGGCTTGGTCGAGCCAGGGAAATAAAAGCAGAGGCACCTGAGGAAGAGGCAGCGCCTGGAGTGGAAGAGGCGACTCGGCATGAGGTCAGTGTTGCCCCTCCCTTGCAGCTCGTCAAGGTAGAAGAAGGCCTCGGAAGAGGCTTGGAAGGAGGCAGTGAGGTGAGCACGCAGAGCAGCATGCTCGCCCTCATGGGCGAGATGCTCCAGCAAATGAAAGAGCAAAATAGGCAGCAAGCCGAGTACAATAGAAGTTGTCTAGCTCAGCAGAAGGAGCAGAACGACCGCATGTACGAGTTATGCAAGATGACAATATCGCAGCAGCGAGAGGCCCCAGCAGCAGCCGCCTTGTCACCAGCTGCTACGGCCAGCAACCCGCTTTCCCTGCAGCGACTCGCGCAGTACTACGTCTCCTGCTGCCTGCCGCGCGCGGCCTCCGTCTACCACAAGTGGGCACCACACGCGACCGGCACCGCCAGCTGCCAAGCCAGTCTCCATGTGGGATGAGCACAGTTTCGATGTGTCACAACGATGACTGGACCGCCCGCTATTTTGCACAAAGCAGCCGGCGGTCCAGTCATCGTTGTTTAGGCACATATCGAAACTGTGCTCATCCCACATGGGGACTACCACTCTCCTCCTCCTCACCATGCTCAGTTTTCGCCCTCATCACCCAACTCACTCCTCACCCTTCTCACCCTCCTCACTCCTCACCCTCCTCAACCTGCTCACTCCTCACCCTCCTCATCCTGCTCACTCCTCACCCTCCTCACCCTCCTCGCTCCTCACCTTCCTCACTCTCCTCACGCCTCACCCTCCTCACTCCTCACCCTGCTTACCCTCCTCACTCCTCACTCTCCTCGCTCCTCATCCTCCTCACTCTCCTCACTCTTCACCCTCCTCACTCTCCTCACTCCTCACTCTCCTCACCCTCACCCTCCTCAACCTGCTCACTCCTCACCCTCACCCTCCTGCTCACTCCTGCACACCTTACTTGCCCTCCTCATCCTGCTCATTTCTCAAATGATCTGAGGTATCTGAAAATCACCATGTCCCTATAGCGGGCATGGTGACCTGATGTTCTTCTATGCCCTGAACAGGGCACGGTTGCAGTCAACTTTCACTATGCTGCACGGTTGGCTGTTGGCGTAGCATCGTGCATCTTCAATATGTACTGCAAAGCTGAGCTGATACGTGTGTGCTAACATCATCTAACATCTACATCCTTCTGTATTGCATTTCTCGACAACAGTTGCCTTCAGGTGCAGTTCAAACCTTTTCCTTAGGATTCCTTCAGCACCATCATGCAGCTGACCGCCGGGTTTGAATATGAGCAATGCCTTGAGACGCAATCGGCGGGCCTCCTCTTCGCTGCAGGCAATCCCACACTCCAGTGCGAGGTTTTGTGTTGAACTCCACTCGCAGGTGTCTATGATGGGCCTACACTCTACTGCCTCGAGCGAGAAACGACCACCCAACAACGACAACAGAAAGCACATGTAAGCTGCTCCGCATGAGGTTACGACCCAGCTACACACCTTCTTCATGGATTCTTTCGTTCGCTCATGACTCGTCACGAACATAAGGTCAAGTTATTTCTTCAGCCATGCATTTATCTATCATCTATCTATCTACCTACCTATCTATCTGTCTACTTGCCAAAGCCTAAGCGTGCAGGAGATGCTGCACATGCATAGGCACCTGAACCAGACACGCTTATGTGTAAGTATGTATGCGTATGTCTTTCTGTCCGAGTTGCGGGTGTGATGCGTATGCAAGCATTCAGATGCGGCATTAGCGGCGTGGACGTTTGTACAGATATCTGATATCTCCATATCCATCCAGCAGGCATGACTACCCTCTCCATCCATCCATCTACGTGCATATTCGATCTACGTGTGCATACATGTGTGTGTGTGTGCATGTAGACATATACACGCTAACTCGCAAGTATATACCTATGTTCTTCTCTACCTATACCCTTTTTACATGCATACATACATACACATATTCACATATACATGTATACAAGAATACGTATATACTGATAAACAGGTATACGCATATATACATATGTTACACATGCCGTTTATGCACATATATACAACATGTACATGTACGTGTGTATATGGATATATGCACATACACATACGTACATACAAACAAAATTTACAGATATTTATGTAGACACACACCTATCTCTCTCTCTTTGTCTCTCTTGGGCATGCATTCGCATACACATGCACACACGCCCGCGTGCACTGGCCCTCACTGCCATGCAGTGATATGCTGTGCTGCCGACAGGAGCTGAGGCGGCGAAAGCTCCTCGGTGAGGCGAACTCCCTCTCGGCTTTCTGCGGCCCAGGCCACGGATTGCGGTGGGGCGAAGCTTCTTAGAACTGGAGAAATTTGAACCGAGAGAGCCAAAGCGTCCCTTTTGTCGTCTCAGCAAAATGCCGTTGGCACAGTGCAGTGCGGCCAGATCTTGAGCCAGCAGTTCGGTTATAATTTGGCACGGTCAAAACTCAAACTCACAGCTGCAGATGCGTCAAAACTCCAAAACTTCAAAGCTTAGGTTCAGCGCGTGGGAGATGCGAGCTGCAGTCAGCATTACATATACCGTAAGGAAGACACACGGCCTTATTGGGGAGATACAGAGGACATAGGACTCCATAGTTGGACCATATTGCATATTGGGATGCTTTCTAGGGCACCATGTACCTGCATCTGTCGACGGAGGCGACCTCGAGCGGCACTCCTTCGCAGTGGCCGCTGCCGAGGCGCTTGGCCGAGGCTTCGGCGATGCGTTGAGGACGTGATTTTGCCACTCTTGCTACGTCTGTCTGATTTCTGCAATCTTGCGGCTGTACTATGCATGGTCCAGAGTAGCAGATGATCCTTTCAGCAGCGTCAGTCCCTGTACGATGTGCTGCGTCAAGTCGGGGTTCAAGTTAGACTGTTTCGCTGTTTTTGTTGGATCAATGGAAATGGGTAGGGTAAATGCAGCTTCCTACTGTATCACATTCGGACGCGTGTTACTGTTCAGACTGTGCAGCTTGGTTGGTCCTACAAGCATCGTTGTTGGTGGGAGTATGCTGTACTTTCCTTGCCGCAAGCTTGAAAGCACCGGATCATCAAGTGTCAGTCTGACCCCATCCTTTGCCGTTCGATCGGGTTGCGAAGCATGCCCGCAGAGGAGTATCTTATGAAGCTCGTAGTGGTACCGACTAGCACTATGATGCAAGGCCTGATGCCGAATCAGACCTCCGTCTCGCTATCTCTATTTTCAGCATGCTTGAGCCTCTGAGCTGGACATCGTTGTCTAGGCATCAAACGCTTCTCAGAGGTCAGAGCTCGGCCCTCGTGAAAAGACTCTTCGAGGCGCACTGCACACAGGGCTTTTGGGGGCTGCGTGCAAGTGGTTGTGGCAGGTAGCATTTTACTGACCGCCGTTGCCAATAGAAGAAGACGATAGAGATAGGATGAAGCTGGCTGCTCCGGTTGTTCGCTCTTTGGATGCCCTCTTCGTGTCCCCAGGAGCGTGAGACGGCCTTGACCTCCTCCGAGGCCGAGGCCGCGGGGCCGCGGGGCCCCTTTGCTTTTCATCTCAAAGCCTCCTGGCCGACATGTTTGCTCTGGTGCCATTGCAGGACCTTCTCTACCAGCTTCGAGAAGACTTCGCCCGCTACACGGTCCGTTTGGGCTTGAAACCAGAATTTGGTTGAAACATCATGTGACTTAGTTCACGTAGCGTAGAACGTGGGATGCAGTGGCGAGTAGAGTTGCAGGCGTGGCGGCAATAAGCAACGCGAGTTTCCTGTACATGAAAGCCCCAGTATGCTGTGTGGCGACGCTTCCAAGACTCGCGAAGCTGTGAATTTTTGGAGGAGCGATTACCGAACTTGCGAGCAGCGCTCTTGGATCAGGCGGGCTTCGGGCATGTGCCTTGGGCCTCGAGCTGGCTGTCGAACTGCTGTTTCTCTTATCTGGTTTGGATGGTTGATGATGGATCATATAGGTGTCTACAAGGGAGACGTGCAAGCTTCCAAAGCGGGTCCATGGAAGGTTCTGCGCCTGCTACCAGAAGGCGATGTGCCAAAGAGCGTGCGCATAAGACACTCGGCACAGGGAGAGGACCAATCTGGACAAACAGAGTAGCTTTCGCCCGGGGCTTTTGTGGCAGTATGTTTGGAAGTGGTTGCTGTCGCAAGTTAACCTGGCATCTAGCTGCGACCGTCCGGTGCTGTGATGCTTGCTGATTCATGCTGAGATTCTAGGCGTTGGGGTTCGGGTGCGGACATGGCATCCGCGCTGCAACAACAACTGTCACCTTCCAGCCTCCAAAATACTGTGTCGTGTCTCAAGCCAGACTTCCTGTCAGCCTCCCCATCGCCGCCGCCGATTGATCAAATGTTGACACATTATTCGTAATCCCGGGTGCTTGACCATGTGAAGCTTGTCATAAGAGTGCATAAGGCATGAACTACTCATTCTATGCCAGGACATGCATGGTGATGGTTGTGGTCATTTGGGCATATTGAGGCATGTGCAGCTCAGCTCTGTGACCGATGCTTCATCTCCGGCTTGACTCCCTGGGCACCTCTCTACCTTGTTCAGCTCAGGCAAGCTGATGGACGTTCTGTCCTGGCTGGGGACGCCGGCCGTGCCACACCTCGCCCGGGGCAGAGAGAACTGAAGAGCGGAGGGGTTGCCACACATATCAGTTATCAGTGTGGCACATGGAATCAGATGTCCTGAGTGCCGCCAGGGTAGATCAAGCATTGAAGCGAGCAGCAACATCTCCCGAAATTTGCGGCCTTCAAGCCCGAAGCCAAAGTTGCTTTGTGGCTATCTTGTGGCATACCGGGGAAGCAGCCGCTATTTCGGGTTGTATAGTCCAGGCAGGCATCTGATCAGCGTTCATATTGGGCGACATGCCTGGGACCGTTTGCTAGATTTCCTGGGCTGAGTCGGTGGCAGAGGGCATCTGGGAAGCAGTTTAGAATTGTGGGTTGAGAGTTTTTTTGGTGCATATGTAGCGTATACAGATGAAGAGGATGCATAAACATCGCTCATCACATCGTGGGCCCAAAAGCGTCGGTAGAGGATCCTACTCAGGAGCCGGATAGTCAGTAAAGCAATGGTCCAGCTGGACACCAGATCCGAGACGCGGCGCTGGCTCTTGCTGCTAGGCGGGGTGCAACTCTTGACTTTGGGATATGCGCTCGGGACCTTCAGATCCAACCAAACCTTCGAGCAACCCGCAACGGGCAAGCGAACACCGCTCGCATCAAGCTCAGGCCAGCAGGCTTGTGGTCTGCCGCGTTGTGTTTCACCTCTTCGGATCGAAATTCTCGAAGTTGGGATTGATGTAGTACTATGAGTCCCACGTCCAGGAGGTTTGCCTGCCAACGACACGACCCTCAAGAGAGAGAGAGAGAGAGAGCGCGAGCGAGGGATGTTTTGTCTACCACTTATCAAGACCGATGCCTGAGTGTTGGGACCACGAATCCTTGTGAATAGTTGTCACGTACTTGTAGCTTCATGTTATGGGTCCATTTTGCGGGTCGTCCAAGCCTTCGAGAGTGCGCATGAAACATCTTGGTACCCGCAACAGGTGGGAGCGCACTCGCGCGGTGGGAAGGCAACTCCCCACCACAACCCCTTCGAAAGCAAGAGAGAGGGACAGCCAGCGAGCCAGTTTCGGAAGACTCTAGCTTGGAAGGCTTCTTCCCACATGCCCGAACTCCCACAGGTGCTGCAGTGACCTTCGTGGTGTTTGCCCCTCGCGGGCTGCTGGTCGGGCTGACGGCGCCTTTCCCTGACACGAATGGGTTCGCAAGAAATTTTCGGCGAGCCTCACAACCTAATCCCAGAGCAATATTTCAGGTGCGGGGACTTCAAGGTTTGCGGTAGGAGGGGGGAGTGCTCACCATGTATTGCAGCTCTGCTCGGGCACCGGCTTGTCTATAGAAGGAAATTCGACAGCCATGTCGCGAGTTGTAAGTACTCCTGCAGAGATCGTCGCCGAATCTTTGAAGTCCAACACTACTCGAGCAGAGGCACGGAAGTGCGGAAATCTCTTGCAGCCTGCAGAGGTGCTAGCCTTGCTTGGAGCACGCGTCCCACAGCGGCTGCTGCAGAGACTGAGCCGGGTGAAGGCAGGATTCGGTCATCGGGCTGCGATGGGGTTCGTCGTTCTTGTGCTTCGAGGCCACATGGCCACATGTACCGAGGCCCGTCGTCGCAAGAAACCTCGGACAACCGTTACTGCTTGTGTCGGGCGTGTCTTCTGCATCCCAAGTTCCAATCCTGGAAAAGTCAAAAGTCGCAGGAGTCGCTGAGCCCGCGGTCCTCTGAGCAAGAAGCCGCTTCGCCGCGGACGCCTTTGGCAACTGCAGATGGGGACCCGACTAGAGCCTAGAGTGGGGAAGGGGAGCCCTCCGATAGCTACTCGTACGCTGCAGCTACACAGTTGCCACGGGAAGTCGCATCTCTGATGTGACCGCCCTGATTTGGGGTTGTAGAAACGGCAAAAACTGTGTGTCAGTCTCTGTGTGTGCGTGTGTGTGTGTGTGTTGGTTGGGGTTTGCGTGCATTCGTTTCTTCTTTGCCGAGGAGCCGAGGATCTGCAGTAAGTCGAAGTGCTGGGCTTGCACATGCCGTCAGTTGCACTGACACATGCAAGCCGGCAGCCAGATCCTGGCCTTGCTGTACACTTGCGCTGTCCCGGCTCTATGCAAGTTCACTCCAGGGCTCTTCACATCGGCATGCTCCTCCGAGATCTCGAAACGGAGCCCGATTGCAGGATTGGGGGCCCGCGCTGGTATTGGTCTTCGAGGCCAGGAGCGGCTAGGAGCCCTTGCTCGTGTCTCTACTTACCTAGTTGACAGAGACATGCGCTCGCCTGCCGTGATCGTCCGCGTCAGCCGAGAACACACAGAAGCGAAGAATCACTTCTCAAGTCGTTTGTATTATTTCGTCTGGCGGAGGCCTGAACTTCGCATAATAGGCCGATTTGTGCGCGGCCCAGCGCCTCCATTCTGCGGCCGGGCCCCGCGGCCGGGCCCTGGCGGGCCGGCCCCCGCGGCCGCAGAATG